GGTCTAAATAGTTATGCTAGATCGGTTAAATTGAGTAACAGACATTTGCCACGCTGTTTGAAATCATCTGTCCCATGACTACTTGTCTATTCCTTATAAGAGCCAATAAACTATCTCCCTTAAGTGGATCATAAAATGATAAACATGAGGTATTTTATTGCTACTGTCGATCCTAACATGTTACATCTTATAGCTTAATTAACTCTTCATTATAATAGCAGAAATAATGCGGTTAAACACGATATCCAGGCCATAGATATTCTAATACAGTTTCTGTTTACAGGTAGCTTTTTATTAGGAGCGTTATCACAGTAAAATGTTTCATTAATGTTAAAACAAATCAAACATTTTATTACATGATTAAGGAAATATATTTGGTTAACCGCTATATAACGCTTAGGAGAATTTCAGTTATCTATCAAATACCACATTTTCCAGTAAAGTGGTGACAAAGTATTTGTCGATAGTTTCACACTCATCGGCCTATGTTGCTTAACATTATTAGATTTGAATATTGTAAACGACGTTATAGCACACTTATATTCAAATTAAAAAACATTTTATGATTATTCAGAAATCGTAAGATGCGGTCTGATGTGATGTAGAATCAGAAAAACATTTTCTTTATCGTGCCAACGTTTCGATCTTTATTGAGATCATCTTCAGAGCCTGGGATTTGCAAACATTGTTTACATTTACCAAATACATTTAGGATGTGGAAAAGTGAATTTATACAATGCAAAATATATTTTTTATATTCAATCATAGTATTTCTACTCACTGAAAGTGTTTGTCTTTTGTGTAATTGTGCCATTCTTGCGTGTCGTGTTGAGAGCATAATAAATATAATAAACAGCAAAATCTCACTGGCACTCTCAACACGAAAGCAAGAATGGCAAAATTACACAGAAGACAAACACTTTGAGGGAGTAGAAATACTTTGATTGAATTTAAAAAAATATATTTTGCATTGTATATATTCACTTTTCCACATCCCAAATGTATTTGGTAAATGTAAACAATGTTTGTAAATCCTAGACCATGAAGATGATCTCAATATAGATCGAAACGTTGGCACGATAAAGTTTTTTGTAGATTTGGCCTAACTGGATAAATGAAATTCCCTCTGTGGAAAAATATAAACTAAGAAAGAGTGATTTTAATAAAATTATAAAACTTTGGTTGCTTGGAAAGTTAGTTAGATGAAAATGTGCGTTTTTTTAAGCTAATCTATTATGTTCATATGTATAATGTAAAAAAGGAAGAAGTAAAAGAGAATATATATATAGTATATGTATAATGTGTGGTGATTAGTGACCGTTAATCGATATTTATTTAGAAATCGTGAGATGCGGTCTGGTGTGATGTAGGTTTCAGAAAAACATTTTCTTTTTTGTGCCAAAGTTACGATCTTTATTGAGATCATCTTCAGGGCTCAAAGTTTTTGTCTTCTGTGTAATTGTGCCATTCTTGCGTGTCGTGTCGAGAGTGACACAAGAATGACACAATTACGCAGAAAACAAACACTTTGATCCCAGAAGATGATCTCAATAAAGATCGAAACGTTGGCATGACAAAGAAAATATTTTTCTGAAACCTACATCACACCAGACCGCATCTCACGATTTCTAATCAAATATATATATTATATTCATAATATTCCACGTTCCTCAACTTACTTTTATTTTGATTGTAAGGGTAGCCCATAAACAGACTTCTTTTGGTCTCAAGGGTACCTATGCCACCAATTTATTGTCAATATCATTATTGTTATATAGAATCATTTTTTCTATTAAGCATTTTGTAAAAATATAAGAAAATACACTTTCATATTACAATAAAAATGGTGGGAAAAAAAAGACTATCACTTACGTACGTCAGGTGGATTATTAGCAGGCCAATTATTTACACAAAATACTATAATTATATTTCATATGTTTAGTTTGCTTTTGGTATCAATGATTTGAAATCTCTTTCGTCTAAATGTATCATTTGCATAACATATGGTGCATTTTTTGACGGACCATTGATAGTATAGTCGTCCTTCTGCTTAATAAATGGACTATCGCGTTACTTCTTTCCAAACTTGGCCATAGTTTTAGTGTATATTAACATTAAGTCATCCGTTGCGTGGAGACACAAGTTAACATTTGACCAATTGGGGCTTTTGTGGGACCAATGAACCCGAAACGAACAAAGACAATTTTAAACGACATATAATATACCACTAATCATCAAATTAAAATTTCTCAGTTGTTTATTGCATGATATTATCAAAAGATGTTTGTCTAAAATGCTTGTAATTGCCTTATGTTACACACACTCACTGGTTGCTGGTAGTGACTCAAACAATTTTCACACTGCCACCAGATTCAAAGTTGTCAATCATTCGCGTAATGTCATTACAGTAAAAACCTCGCCGCCCGAGTGGTCTTGTTTAAACCTTTTGCTATGCCAGGAATACTTAGAACTATTGCAAAATTATTTGATTTTCAGGTGTGTGGCAACACGGCAGATTACTAATGATCAGAACTGACCAAACAAGCGCGGCTTGGCAGACCAACTTACAGGTTAATTACTCAACAGACGACAACCAGAAAAAATCTAACAACTTTGGAGCTTAGTTGTTTCCGCACTTTCTCTTACTTTACTACCATAAGTGAGTACCAGCTTGAAGATGTTTTTGTATAGGAGTACAATTAATTATCTAGTTTCCCCTTATTGTGGATAATGGGGTAGAGCATGGAAAGTCTTCCATGCGCTTCTGTTTTTTATTATGTTAAAATTGAAAGTCAAATCATGATCGAAATAAATATTCAGGTAAGCTTCGGCTAGCCCACGCTATTTTGTGTATACATTATGGTTGTCTATTTTCGTTAACCAGTTAAATTTTAATTTGGAAACCTTCTCGGAGCATCTAGTCCTCTCTGGCTTTACTATTTTGTATTAGATTTCTTTGGAGGAAATTCTCAAGTGGCCAAAGTAGACATGTTGCTTCGACTTTTACCTCCTCATTCAATTGTTCAATACAGTTAATATAATAATCTTTAAACATGAATAATTAATTAATTACACAGCTAATTAGTTGTATACAAGTCTTCTCCGATATGTAGATTTTTTTATTGCAGGTAATCTTGTTATTTATTGTATATAAACCAAGTTTGGTGATAGATGTTTTAATTTTTGCGTGAGAATACTATTTGACTAGGAGAATAATTATATGCGTGAATATGTGTATTATACTCTTTAGTGTATGTATTGTTAGCTGTTTATACGTGTAAAGGGTGATGGGAGAATGTCTAGTATTCAATAATCCTGTTTGAGTTAATGGTATGTAAATAAGAAAGAATGTATTTAAGGGATGAGTGAGAGGGTGAGGGTATTTAGGTTAAAAGAGCGAGCGTGGGGACAGAAATGACCTACCTGTCTTCTCCTTGCAGCTAAACTTCGACGGCAGCACGGATAAGAAAGAGATATGACCTCGGACCACCAAAACGCCGAAGCAAGTTTTATGGAGATGAAGATGGAAAGTCATAGCCATGGTTCTGCACATTTACCTATACGCAAGGGCATATATTGGTAGAATTGAGTTTTTACAGGCTGGATTCGGATCAGTGTGATTTTTTTTAGGGGGGGGGATACTTCATAAAAATGGAGTAGAATGCCGGCAGAAAGGGTGTCTTATCTTATTTCAACACGGAGTATTGTATTTTTCTACAAAAATCGGACCTTATGCCGTTAAATCGCGTTTTGCCAACTTTTACCTAATTTATTCGCAGTTTTGACTACTTTTTCAAAAAGAGCAATACAATTACTATAGGGCTATACTTTTTCATTTCTTTGCTACACGCTTAAATGTCATATATGACAGAGAAAATGTCAAATTAATCAAAAACCTGGAATTTTCAGAGGTATTCAAAAAGTTGTCTCTCTTTTACGAATAATCTTGAGACTGTTGAATCACAAAAATTTCTTCATTTAATAACGTTTAATGATGTATGCATTACTGTGATTGATCCTTCTTTTGTAGGAGAAACCAAGTTTCAAAGGTGAAAAACGTGGTCTCTGTTGAGAAAAGGAGTGAATGTAATTTATCATATTCGCTTACCTTTCATTTTTTTTATTCCCATTACGAAATGCTCATTAAATAAAACAATAACTCGATAAAATTTGTTCAAACTGCCTTCCTCTGTTCCTGATGGACTTGCCCGTTTCCGAACAACTCGCACAATAACTGAGAGATTTAACTTCTCCATAAGTTTTTGTGCTGTAGTAATTACTTTTCTCTTTAACTCTTCTTTGTTGATCTGTTGAAACTTCCTGTTTGAGAAAACCCGAAACGAAAACGTCTAATGGTTCGAGATCAGGGGACTTCGGTGGCCATGCAATAGTACCATTTTGCCCTATCCTCACAGAGAACCGTTTAAAATCGTCAATCATAACTCCGTATTGAACAGAGATAGGCCACCCGCCCTGGCCGAATTCTACTCCGTTTTCGATGAAGTTTCACCAATTTTTTTTCACACAGAGCCGAATCCACCCTGTATAAATCAACCAATAGTTATCTATACGTCAAAGTTCACTAATGTGAATGTACTGCACCAAAAATTTCCTTTAAATTAAAAGCCGAATATGTAATGGTACAATAAGTGGTTTTTCTATATGATGCCATCTTTTAATTTTAATAAAGACCTGTCACTACAAAGCGGCATGTAACTGTAGGGAAAAGCGGAAAATGGATAGACTAATAACCATAATCAAGTATCTTGACTTATAACATGAAATCCTAGGTGATGCGTGCTTAGAGCTGAAGGGCTGTTTCACGCGACCACTAAAACCCCTGCTCCGTCAAACTCCACTTCCGTTTCAATTTTCGCTTCCGCTCTCTCACGCCACCGCTGATTGGGCCAAATTTCGTTTTGTCAATGTGCGACACGTGGATAAATTTTATATACATCACATATGGGTGGGGGAGTTTGTTGTAGTGGGGTGCCGTTAGGGGCGGTAACTGCTGGAAACGGGGGGTGGACGGCCAGGGTTCAGTACTGTGCAAGGGAACCCCAGTGTCGGATCTCGGCATGTGCCCCTTCACTCACGGGCGATGATCACCAACACTCATGCACCGCCGTAAGTAGCAGCTTTGCTCATTTCGAATACACATTCGGAAGCGCCACCCACTGATGCCCCGCACTGCGTAAAGCCCATGCAGGCGAAAAGTTCGCGCTACCCTGCCTCGCCCATCCCGGCCCAACCCTCCCCAACCTCTGCGATTCACCTTTAACTTCTAGCTGGAAAAAAGGAAAAACAAATTTATAATTTAACTCAAATATCGATTTTAATCTCACTATGAACTTTTATTTTAATTCACGATTAATTTTATTCATATTATGTATGGAAAGTTCATCGGATAAAATAAACAAACTTTCTTTTGATTTTGCCAGTTAATGATTTTCTATATGCTAGTACTTTTGTATTTTAATTGAGTTTTTATACACGTTTATTGAATATCTTCTTTTTTTATCCCAGCCTCTCTTTATCTCGGATTTGGGCGTTCCGCAGTACCGCATTTATTCAATAGCCCTGTTGAAATGGCGTGAGAAATGACCAATCCCGCTTTGACCATTTTCGAGATGATACATAAAGATATAGATTGTCGTGTATTGTGACCAATTTCGATTTTTTAGCACTTCGCCCTCCAAAGCTGAAACGCCAAGGCAAATTGTGTTTTGTGGAAATGTATTGCCCGCCGTTCGAACTGATCCTTCAATTAATTATGATTCATGTATGACCGATGGGAATAATGTGAATTGGTTTTTATACATTTAATACCGAAATTTTCCGGTATATTCCTGAAATATCTAAATTAACTTTATATTAAAAAATAAAAGAAATATCTAATCAGTTTTTTTATTTATTAGAATTAGTAATAATAAACTTTTGATTATCACTAAAACACAGTTGATTGACGAACGGTTTAAAGGAATGACTAGAGGAGTTTAGCGAGGGATTGACACGTGTGACTACAGGAATTGCTAATGATGGCAATTAAGGCTGCTTTGAGTCTTTAATAGGTGCGGGAAGAACGAATTAGCAGCGATCCTCCCTGAGTTGGCCCCTTTTTATTAAAATATTATTAAATAGAATGAATGGTTGATCCCGTGACCCGTACTTCCTCGACGCCAAAATCGATTGTTGGCCCGCAAAGGACCGCTCGGTCCCCGGAAAGAATCTTGGCCCGTTGGAGGTTTTTGCCCGGGCCGGATTTACATCTATTCGCCGCTTTTAGTTTAAACATAGGACAGTTCGGCAAAAACGTCTTGTCAACAAACGGTGCTGCGTTCTGGAGTTGGAGGAGGGTTTAGTAACGTCTAAGTCAAAATTCGGCCAATTTCTCACGAAATTTTTAAATTTTCATGATAACGAAATTATTGAACGCTTTTGTTAACATATTATAAATACAAAATAGACCATTTTAATTGTACAATTGTACTATCTAAAATTAAAAGGAAATATGGTTAAACTCTACCATAAATACGTAACTATTTTTTACTGAAACAACATTTATTTCATATTTTATATTAACGGTTGCAAGGCATTATAAATTTCTTTTAAAATCAAGTTTAAATATGTTTGCGTTTTTATATTTTTTTAAATAGATTTCGTATTAACTGAGAATAAAAGACGTTTAGTACATTAATTTTCTATTTTACATCTTTTTAATTTCTACTGTATAATTGCTAGTTTGGCGCATAAATCCACATACCCTGGTGCAATGTATATTCAGAGAGACACTAGACAGTGTTTTGTACTATTACAGACAGACATCATATTTTACAAGATCAGTGAGCGGTTAAAACCTCATTTTTCAACATATAACGCTCGCCCGCCTCCACACACACACACACACACACACACAACTTTCTCTTTCTCTCCCTCTCACTCTCTCTCTCTCTCTCTCTCTCTCTCTCTCTCTCTCTTTCTCTCTCTCTCTCACTCTCTCTTTTATAACTCTCGTATTGTTTTTCATAGTTGAGTTTTTTACCAATATTTGTTAGCCTTGAAAAGGGGTGTCAGAATTGGTCCTAAACTCATATAGGCAATAAAAAGTAAAAGAAAGCATAAGGACGTTAATTTCAATAAATATCCCCATCGCATGATAATTTTCTAATTTATTTCTCTCTTTATCAAACAGTATATTTTTTATTCTATCACTAAATGACGATCTGTCTGTCTGTCTGCCTGTACTCTCCCACTCACTCTCTCTCTGTCACTCTGTCTCTGTCTCTCTGTCTCTCTCTCTCTCTCCCTACCTCCCTGCATCACTCTCTCTTTCTCTCTCACTCTATCTTTCTCGATTTATCGCTCTCTCTTTTTATCTCTTTCCTTTGCTCTCTCTTTCTCACTTTAACAAGCAACAAAAAAATATAATTACTTCCAAAAGATGTAATTCTATATCGGATTAAAACGAGATTTTATACTTTTTCTCTGTCCTCTTTCACCAATTTTTAACAATATCTTATCAAGGTTTTATGCGTTTATGTCTGAAAGTATTCCTAACTATTTATCTCTAATAGTAAAAATAGTAACTAATACCGTCTGCAAAACTAATACACGTAATTGTTCACATGATAATTTGAACTTATAATCTATGTGTGGTGATTAGTGACCGTTAATCGATATTTATTTAGAAATCGTGAGATGCGGTCTGGTGTGATGTAGGTTTCAGAAAAACATTTTCTTTATCGTGCCAACGTTTCGATCTTTATTGAGATCATCTTCAGGGCTCAAAGTTTTTGTCTTCTGTGTAATTGTGCCATTCTTGCGTGTCGTGTCGAGAGTGCCCCTTATAATCTAAGACAGGTAAAACCATTAAACTAATTTAAATATGTTTCAGTTAACTGATTGCTGGTGATTATGATTTCTGATAACCCTCACTGTTTTATCAACCTTATTAAAGTTCTTTTCTTTATTAAATTATTATCTTGAGGTTTTGTTCAATTTTATTTTTCCTTTAAAATGGTGGTAAATACTTATAAACAAAGTCGGTCACAGTAATTTATAAAAATTCTTGAAACAAAGCAATTTTGTTTATTGTGTCTTGTCTAAAAAACTACACTCCCCGACAATTACAAAATCATAAATAATTGATATTTAAAATATAAAGAGACGCAACACAGTCTGCAATCCTAAAATCCAATATTGTTTTTTTTTTAAATTATAACTCCATGATAGCAACTTTTGTATTCCAAGATATTCTAGAAAGCTTCTTATGAGGTGTCTCATGGGGTGGTGATAGAATGAACGAGGTTGAAATCTAAGCAGAAATTTTTAATGGCGTAATGAGAGGCTAGACCTTTGTCAAAGGGCTAATGAATGGGCCGTTGAGCCCTTAACCCTGTGTTTTTTTAATGCAACAAGTTTCTTCGCGTGTGAACATACATACGTATGAATTCAAGGTACATAAATCGGATTAACTATATCTATATCTGTACTTTTAATTATGTTTTACACAAGTAGGTTGTTTTTATTGATGATTTTATGATTCATTTTAATTTTTAAGTGTTAGGATCCTTTTTCTCTAGAAATATAAATTCCTGTTTTCAGTTTTCTTCATTCGTATTTTCCAATTGTAACCCTGGATAAAATTAAGTTTAAAGTTAAACAAACAAGCAAAGGCTCACTGATGAAGAGAATTTAGATTAAATAAATTCATTCGGTCTAGTGGAGAGGATTGTTAATGACAATGAAAAGGGAATGATTAAGTGCTGAAATACTACAACTTTTTCTTTTGGAAAAAAAACTACCTTGGTATTCAATCTTTGTCTTGTCGGGAAATTATTTGGAAATGACATGTACTCATGTAGGTTCCTGCTTAGAAGATTCAATTATAATGCTGACTCAGGTAAACGTACCACAAAGGCGTGGTTTTATAAAGGAATCTTTCTTTAATTTATTGCCTTTTTGTATGCTCACTCACTCCTGTTCACAGACAGGAATATTTTTATAAAATGTACATATATTATTGTCTTGTAAACACTTTTTAGTTCTTCTACTAAATACTGTAAAAACTTTTAAATATTATTTTATTTATTTCTGATGAAATAGAGATTAAAGTGGTGTGTAAGGTAAACATGTTTAGCTGATATAAATTATCGGACGATTCTCTAGACTTTTTATTGTCGCATCGTTATATCAGTAAATAAGTATGCTTACTTTTAGCAAGTGTGAACGCAAGTTTTTGTATTTTCTAATTAAAAATAATAGTTTATTCAGTATGTACTTGAATTAGTATAATAGTGAGAAAGACAAACATCGTAAAAAAATCTGATAACTTAATTAAATTTTATTGTAGGTACCGTTATTTTAGTTAATCCTTATGTTACTTTTTCACCAGTATGTTAATATATTTTTGAAGGTATTTTTTAAATATAATATAAAAATGAAATTAATTATCTTCACCACATATCTGTGGTTGCAGTGAAAATTGAGGATTTGGATTGTGAAAAATTGTAAAAACCCCACTTGTGAAATCTATGGAAATATTGAGAGAATTATAAAAGCATATTTGGAGGAAATTTTATCTATTCTATTTTGGTAAAAAAATTAAAAATTTTTGTAAGTTATGATTTTTGACATAACCCACTTTTCATTGTAATCATAAATATAATTTAAAACAGTGTGTAAAATAAATAACAAATCATTTCATTAAATAAATAAACATAACCTTGATTTGTGTTTATGGTCAAACAAAAATAAATTATCTAGACATTCTCCAGGATGTGATATTTTTAAATAACATTATTTTAGTAGTAGTTATTTAATAGAATAATTGAGATTTATTTTACAAACACTGACAAATTTAGCTGTATTATGTAACATAGAATTAAGAATTTAATCAGTCTGGAACAGTAACTGTTAAATACTAGGTAAAAAAAATTACTTCACAAATAAGAGTATTTATCGTATATTTAACAAATAAATCAATTAACTTATTTCAAATAGCCTTGCCTGGTGCATATTTTTACTTTGAAAACAATATAATTAACAGTTATTCAGATATCGTGAGATGCGGTCGGGTGTGATGTAGGTTTCAGAAAAACATTTTCTTTATCGTGCCAACGTTTCGA